TGAGGGGAGGGAATCTCTCCAACTATGAGGGAATTATAAATACCACACAATTATTATGCAGGTATTTAAAAAGTATTCATATTTTATTTTATTTATTTTATTTTTTTATTTATTTTATTTTATTTTATTGAGGCAAGGTCTCATTTAGCCCAGACTGACCTCTAAATCCCAAGGTAGTTGAGGATGACCTTGAACTTCTAATCCTCCTGCCTCCACCTTCTTGAGTGCTGGAATTACAGGCATGTACCACTATTTCTGGTTTTATGTGGTACTAGGATTGAGCCCAGGACCTCATGTTAAGAGCACTGCTGCTCTTGGAGAAGACTGAGGTTCAATTCTCAGCACCCACATGGTGGCTAACAACCATCCATTAACTCCAGTTCCAGGGGACCTGACACCCTCTTCGGACCTTCACAGGCATTGCACACATGTGGTACACTTACATACATGCAGGCAAAACATTCATACATGTAAAATAATTAATTAAAGCCAGGCATGGTGGTGCACACCTGTAATCCCAGTAGAGGCAGGTGGATCTCTGTGAGTTCAAGGCCATCCTGGTCTACATGAGTTCTAGGACAGCTGGGGCTATAGGGAGACCCTGTTTCAAAAAGACAAGGAAAAAAAAATTAATTAATTAAATAAAAAAATCTCTAGGTATATTTTATTGCAGAAGAGGCATGGGAGATAGTTGAGGAGTGATTGGGTTAAAATGAATAATGTGCTTATTGCAGAGTTTATAAATGAGAATAATGCACCTATGCCACAAGGTTGGGGTAAGACTTTTTTTTTTAGAAATTTTTAAAATTTATGTGTACATATATCTTTGTGTGTGAACATGTGTTGTACAGTTGCCCATAGATGCAGAAGGAAGTGTTGGGGCCTCTGTAGTTACAGTTACAGGCAGTTGTAAGCCACCTGATATGGTTGCTGGGAACCAAGTTGGATCCTGTAGAAGAGCAAGACAGTACCCTTTACTGCAGTGCCCCCTGCCCCCCATTGTTTTGGGGTTGTTTGTTTTGAGACAAGATCTTATTTTGTATTCCTGGCTGATCTGGACTAGAACTCACCTGGTGGACCAGGCTGGCCTGAACGTGTAGAAATCCATCTGCCTCTGCCTCCCAGGTGCTAGGATTATAGATGTGCACCACCACAGCTTGTCCTGGACTGGGGAAGGCTTTTTGTTTGTTTTGTTTTGTTTTGTTTTGTTTTGTTTTGTGACAATGTCTCTCTGTAGCCACACCTGGCTTGGAACTCAATATGTAGACCAGGCTGGCCTCAATTGTCACAGATTGCCAGCAGAATGAGGCTTTTTAAATGGAGATATTATGGGGGCAGGAGAAATGGTTCAGTGGTTAAGAGCACTTGCAGCTCTTAAAGAGGACCCAAGTTCAGCACTGCATGGTGACACACAACTATCTGTTACTTAAGTTCAAGGGGATTTGACATTTCCTGGCTTCCCTGGGTACCAGGCATGTCTATGATGCACATACATACATGCAGATAAAGCACTCATACAGATAAAAATAAATAAATAAATAAATGCAGGCAAAACACTCATACACATAAAAATAAAATGGAATGGAGTGGAATGGAATGGAGTGGAGTGGAGTGGAGTGGGAGTGGAGTAATGGAATGGAAGGGAAGGGAAGGGAAGGGAAGGGAATGGAGACATTGTTGTAAGCTCTGAAGTGCTAGGCATATGGAAAGAAACTGTAGGACCCCCAGACTGGGGTACCCTACGTTCACGGGAGTTCGCACCCCAATAACTCAGTCCTCAAACCAGTAGATGCAATAGCAAGAGGAATTTAATGGCGTTTTGCAAAACGGACTCCTGCCTCACTCGGAGGACAGAAGCCCAGAGCCCAGTTCACAGGCTTCTTTTAAAGACAAAGACCACAAACTACAAGCGGTAGAAGTGGGAGAGAGAAAGCGGCAGTAACGTCACAAGCGGCGGCTATGTGCCAAGAAGAAAAGCGGCGGCTATGTGCCAAGCAGAAAAGCGGTGGCTATGTGCCAAGCAGAGGTAGGGGGAATTTCTGGGATAATTTCCAGCTTGGGCTGATCAGGCCTGGGGGATTTTAGTTTAAATCCATTATTCTGGGGGCTTTGGATCCATCAAAACCTTGTTAAATGTACTTTCAAACTACTCTAAAACAAAGTTGTCCATATCTTGGGTTCATAAGATATAGTCACCTAGAATCTGTGGGTATAGTTAGTGGGTAGAGTACTTATGTAGTATGTAGGAAACCCTGAGTTTGATCCCTAAACATAGCAAAAATCAAAACAGAAACAAAAAAAACCCCACTTTGACTGACATGGTGTTCTGTTATATTTTCAAATCAGAGAGGACCAGGTAAACTTCCGTGGATTCATGAGAACTTTGGCTCATTTCCGACCCATTGAGGATAATGAAAAGAGCAAAGATGTGAATGGACCAGAACCACTCAACAGCCGAAGCAACAAACTGCACTGTAAGGCGCTTTAGTCATGTAGTTTAAAATACTTGTTTTTTTAACCCATTGACTTGATTATTTACTTGTTCAGCTTTTTTTTTTTTTTTTTTTGGTCTTTTTGAAACAGGGTCTCCCTATAGCCCCAGCTGTCCTGGAACTCACTATGTAGACCAGGTTAGCCTCAAACTCACAGAGATCTGCCTGCCTCCGCCTCCCAAGTGCTGGGATTAAAGGCATGTACCACCATGCCTGACCCGTTCAGCATTTTTAAGAGCAGAGAGTCTTAAGTGATCAGACTTTGGAGATAAACTGAATTAAATTGGAATCCTATTTCACTCAAAGATTTTTGTTGTTGCTGTTTGAGATAGGGTCTGTGTCACCTAGGTTGGCCTCAAACTCACTATATAGCTGTGACTGGCCTCTAAGTGTCTTAAGTCTCTGCCTCCTAAGTGTTGATACTACTGGCTTGTGCCACCAAGTTGCATTTATGAGGCTTGGGATAGAACCCAGGTCATGGTGCATACTAGACAAGCACTGAACCACTGAGCCATATCCTTACCCCGTTAAAGGATTCTGCATGTTGTAAGGATTAATATATATCAAGTGCTTCAAGCAGTACCTTATATATACTAGATACTCAGTAGCTGTTACCTACTACTACTGTTACCTACTATTAACTCTTTAAGTAGCTCCTGTGTGCCAGCACTGTAGAAAGTTCTAGAGTGACAGTTGGTAACAAGACTCTTCCTAGGAAGACTAATGTCAATCCTCCACCTGTCTTAGAATTTGATAGATACTAGATTTGACTAAAGTAGTAGTAGATACACTGGTGCAATGTTTCATTTTTGTACCTGTTGCCTCTTGCCTCCTTCCTTTCCATGCTTACTGATTTCCCCTCTGGCCTTGTTGGTTCATAGGCTGTTGCCCAATCACTTAAAACACTATTCCAGGAAATTGAAGTACAATTTCTAATTTTCTTTCAACATAAGTTGCTATTGAAATTGTATGAAACTAACCGAGCCCAACATAATGATTTAAAAGGTACATAATGGTACCCAGAGAGGTTTGTGAAGTCACAAAATAAACAGAGCACATCAAGTTTTTTACATGATAATTTAAAAAATACAAAAAGGTTTTTGAATATTAGAACAAATATAAAATAGCTGAGTGTGGTGGTACATGCCTATAGTCTCAGCACTTGGGAGGCAGAGGCAGGCGAATCTCTGTGAGTTCAAGGCCAGCCTGGTCTACATAGTAAGTTCCAGGACAGCTGGGGCTACAGGGAGACCCTGTCTCAAAAAATAAATAAATAGGCTGGATGTGGTGGCGCACACTTTTAATTCCAGCACTTGGGAGGCACAGACAGGTGGATCTTTGTGAATTCGAGGCCAGCCTGGTCTACATAGTGAGTACTGTGAGCTAAAAGTGAGTTCAAGGATAACCTGGAAAACATCTCAAGACCTCTATTTCAAGGAAAAAAAAAATTTTAAAACAAATTCTTTTTGTTGACCTGAACTTTCTCCATGATCTTCATTGCATAAGTTTTCATGCAAGTTCTTTCAAAATTTTTTCTAGGTAAAGTAAAGGTGAGTCTATTTAATACAGTGTTTCAGATTTGTAAGTTGAAAATGTTCTAGCTGTTGGTTCACAGCAATATGGATATACTTAATATTAGTGAACTATAAACTTAAAATGATTAAAATAGCAAATTTTATGTTTTTTAATACATTTTTAAAAATGCTCGGTATGGTGGCACACACCTTTAACCCCAGTACTCAGGAGGTAGAGGCAAGTAAATCTCTGTGAATTTGAGGCCATTCTGGTCTACATAGCAAATTCAGGCCAGCTGGGGCTACAGGGAGACCCTGTCTCAAAACAACAACAACAAAAAAAATCAGCCAGGCACAGTAGTATATACCTATAATTCCAAACACTCAAAAGACTGAGGAAGGAGGATCACAAATTCAAAGTCAATATGTATAACATATCCAGACTTTGCCTCAAAAAAGTCATTAAAAACCTTTATTAATGATGATGATTGATAGGTTTCAATACTCTAAAGTTCTAGTATATTTCTGGAATCCAAAATGAACTGCAGTTTTTAATGTGTTCTTATTAGCATGTAATGGGATTAAGACTAAACCCATTCTAAAGGGACATAGTGGCCCATGCCTTTAATCCCAGAATTTGGGAGGCAGAGGCAGGCAGATCTCCATGAGTTAGAGGGCAGCCTGGTCTACATAGTGAGTTCCAGGCCAGGCTGGGACTACAGGAAGACCCTGTCTCAAACAAAAAAAAAAGGCTATACTGATCCTAAATAGTGGATTTTATTGCCATAGCCTAATAATACCTTGCTTTAGGGTGAGGAGAGAGGAAGACATAACAACAGAGACAAAAATGATAGATTGTTTATCTTAGGAGAGTATCAAGTACTAAGGGATCCTGTCTCAAACAATAAATAAATGGAAAAAAAAAATCAAGTCAATGTGTTTTGGGGTTATACAAGTTTTCGTATCCCTAAACCGTGGAATATTGCTTAGTAGATAGCACATTTCATGGTAATTTAGAAAGAAGAAAACCTAGCCAGGTATGGTGGCTCATGCCTTTAATCCCAGCACTCCCAGAGGGACGCAGATCTCTGTGAGTTCAAGGCCACCTGGTCTACAAAGCAAGTTCCAGGTCAGTTCTGACTACAGGAAGAAAAAAAAAAAGTCTAAAATAGCCGGGCCTTTAATCCCAGCACTCAGGAGGCAGAAGCAGGTGGATCTCTGTGAGTTCAAGGACAGCTGGGGCTACAGGGAGACCCTGTCTCAAAAAGACCAAAAAAAAGTCCAAAATAAATAAATAAAATTAAAGTGCCAACCAAAATGTATACTGTTAACCGGGCGTGGTGGCGCATGCCTTTGGTCCCAGCACTCGGGAGGCAGAGGCAGGTGATCTCTAATGAGTTTGAGGCTAGCCTGGTCTACATAGTTCCAGGCTGGGCCTGCAGGGAGACTCTATCTCAAAAAGACAAAAGAAAAAAAAAAGAAGAGGAAAGGTTATATAGAAGTTTGCCCATTAATGTGTGTGTATATCTAGTTTGGGGGATATATTAAGCTTGTGTTAACTAAGGAATAGTTTACAGTCCTTGCTTTCTTTGCTTTGTAATCCAAACTCCTAAAATATGAATGCAAATAGGGTTAAAGGTAGTTAGTCAAATAACCAAATGAAAGAAAACAAGAAAGTATTAGAAAATGTTCCAACAGAATTCTGATACATGTTTTACAATGTGTAAATTAGATTTTCCTAATTTTTGTTCTAACTTTTCTACAGTTTTTTCTTACTTAGTAATTTATTGGACGTATCCTTTTATTGTTGTTGTGGAGGGTATTTAAACTCCTAATTATTTATCCATGTTCTACTGCCTTGGTACCTAAATAATACCTCCCCTTGGAATGTCCATCAGATTTGTTAGTATATTTTTGTTTTTGACACAGTGTCTAGTGTAGCTGGCTGGCTTATAACACGCTTAAGTAACTGAGGCTGATCTTAAATTCCTGATCTTCCTGCCTCTACCTCCTATACTAGGACTGTAGGTATGCATCACTATTCGTAGTATGGCAGTCCCATTTTGAAAACCAGAAACTGAAGCCAGGATAGTAGGTCAGGCTATCCAAGCAGTCAGGTGGCTGAAGCAGTAAGGTTGCCATGAGTTTGAGGTCATCCTGGGCTACATAGCAAGTTCCAGGTCAGCCTAGACTATAGAATGAAACCCTAACTTTAAAAAAAAAAAAAAAAAAAAAACAGCTGGGCATTGTGGTACACACCTTTAATCTTAGCACTGCAGAGGCAGGTGGATCTCTGTGAGTTCAAGGCCAATCTGGTCTACAGGGAGACCCTGTAAAAGACCAAGAAAAAAAAAATTTAAAAACAAAACCACAAGTAAATGAATGAATTAATGAGTAAGTAAATAGCATCTTAAAGCAATTCAGAACCACCCCAAATTCAGCTATATAACAAAACAATCCCTTTTTCAATGAGTTGATCTCTCATGGCGCCTAAAAAAAAAAAAAAAAAAAAATCACCTAGTATTTTCACACTATTCACACAGTAAGTCTTAAGTAACATGGCAAAAAACTGAATAGATTTTGATTTCCTGAATGCGCTTTTGTATTGATAAATGAAATGCTCTCAGATATCCTAGTTTCTAAAAGAGTGTCTATTGTTAAAGAGAGGGAAACATCAGAAAGCCAACACAAGCCGGGTGTGTTTGTGCACGCCTACCCTGCACCTGGGAGGCAGAGGAAGGCAGATCTCTGACTTCGGAGGCTGGAGAGGTAATTCAGAGGTTAATAACACAATTCCTGAGGACTGTAATTCAGATCCTAGCTCTCAGGTAACTGCTTTTGTACCTAATAATACTTCCTGGAATGTATATCCCTCTTTCAGATTTGTTAGTCTGTATGATTTGGATAAAGATGACAAGATCTCAGGTGACAACTAGGCATCTTGTGCATACCTGTAATCCCAGCTCTAGGGGGATGGAGTCGGGTATTTAGAACATCAGAGTCTTGTTAATTTTATTTGAAACTCCAAGGCTTGGTTTTGGGGTTTTTGTTTTGTTTTATTTTGTTTTTTGAGACAGGGTCTTCCTGTAGCTCAGCTCACTATGTAGACTAAGTTAGCCTTGATCTCTCAGAGATCTGCCTCCCTCTGCCTTCCTAGTGCAGGGATTAAAGATGTACACCACCACGCCCGACTTGATGTGCCCTGTGATGCCTGTAATCCTACAACCCCAGTACTTCAGAAGTAGAGGTAGGAAGATTAGGAGTTCAAGGCCAGCCTTGGTTACTTGAGAATCCTGTTTAAAAGTACAAGCAAAAACAATGACAAATAAAAAAAGAAATGGAAGTTCTTTACTTGAAGGGTCTTTGAAATTTGACATGTTTTCCCAAGTGGCTGAATTCCCAAAGCCACATTGTGTAGCCAATTACAGTGCTTTTTATCTCTTATTGTTAGTTTCTTCTGAGTAGTAGAACTGATCTGTGTAAGATGACTTACTTTACAGAATTCGAAAGCGGTGTTTGTGGGGTTTTATGGGTTTGTTTGTTTTGTTTTGTTTTTCCTTTCTTCCCCCTCATTCTAGTATAAGAAAAGAAACTCTGGGCTTTCTCTTATGAATTTTTCTAATATGTTGGAAGACAGACCACATTTCATAAAATCCAAGATGATTACATCAAGTCTCAATTTCCTAAGTGTTTCAGTGTCTTTAAAAGTCCTACGAGCAGCCAGGCATGGTGGCACATGCTTGTAGTCCCAGCACTTGGGAGGCAGAGGCAAGTGAATCTCTGTGAGTTCAAGACCAGCCTGGTCTACATAGTGAGTTCTAGGCTAGCTGGGGCTACAGGGAGACCCTGTCTCAAAAAGACCAAAAACAAAACAAAACAACAAAAAAAGTTCCACTGGCAATGGCAGTTGTCATGAAAACTCCATTAATTGGCCATCAGTTTTCTGTCTAGTGTTCTGTATATGGTTAGCTCCTTGACAAAGGGCAAAACACTACAGAATTTCCACTGACTTCTTGCATTTCCCTACCAGTTGCTTTCAGACTGTACGATTTGGATAAAGATGACAAGATCTCGAGAGATGAGCTGTTACAGGTATGTGGGGAAGTTATGGAATGACTTGTACTTGGTGCCTTAATTGCTTATTTTTATGGGCAGGCATTGTTCTTTCCTTCATTAAGCATTCGTTTAACCCCTGCTTTGGACAGGATCCTCTTGTGGATGAAAAGCAGAGTACAAGACTGGCAACACTTGAAATGGGGGGGTCTTCACGAATGGGCATTCATTACCATTTAAAAGCTAACTAAGTGTCTGTGAGGTTCTGAGTGGCCAAGGGAAAATACACTAATCAGACTAATTGGCTTGTGAGCAGCCATTTAATTTGGATAATACTGAGGTAACTTCTGCCATTTAGTCTCTCCTTGAACTTGATGTAAGAGTCTAGGGACTGCTGTGTGAACCTGGATTTAGCCTCTCCCTGGCCGTGGATGCTCCTGTGGGGGTTTCCCTGTCTCCTAGCAATGACTGCCTTTTCACATTATTAGCACTGCTAATCATCTCTTTCTCCTTTTGTAAGTTCAGGTTGGTGAAAAAATTATCCCTTTCACTGAATCTGAAGATCTTCAGTGGCTAGCACAGTCAGGAATTGCCATGGGGCAAATTCTGTGTTTCTAGGGGTACCTCAAAGTGTTACTTCTGTGTCTTAAGAAAACTTATAAATTGATTACTCACACCAGATTAAGGAGCAACTCAAACTCACCCTACATTTCAATCTGAGAAAACCCAAAACAGTCAGGAGCTCAGTAGTTCATTGCGTTAAAAAATTTTTTTGCTGGATATGGTGGTACAAGCCTTTAATCCCAGCACTCAGGAGGCAGGAGGCAGAGAAAGGCAGACCTCTGTGAGTTTGAGGCCAGCCTGGTCTCCATAGTAAATTCAGGTCAACTGGAGCTACAGGGAGACCTTATCTCAAAAAAAAAAAAAAAAGAAAAGAAAAGAAAAAGTGTGTGTGTATATATTTTAACTTCAGTCTTTTAGAATTTCATACATGTATGCAATGTTTTTGGTCATATCCACCTCTACCTCTCCCAACTCCTCTCAGACTCCCTTAACACACCCCACACCTCCTTTCTAAAAATATCCTCCTAAATGAATTAGCGCTACCTATATGCCCAAGGGTATGGACCATCCACAGGCAACCTACCAGTGGCCATAAAAATGGCCCTCAAAGAAAAATGACTACCCCCCTCCCAATCCATTGTAGCTCCTCAGCTAGGGGTGGAGCCTCAGGAGCCCATCCCCCAATTCATGTGGAATTTTGACTTTGCCTCTGGGGTTTGAGGTGGGAATGGCTATCTTTAGAGAGTAGAGTTTTTCTTACTGAAGTTATGCCATGAATTCGGAGTACTGGTAAAACAGAAGTAGCCATTCTAGAACTGCATGTTTTCATCTTCTGGTCCATATTTTAAGTATTATTATTTTTGTGTGTATGATGTATTGCCTGCATATAGGTAGGTGGACCCATGTTGTGCAATGCCTGAGGAGGTCAGAATAGGGCATCAGATCCCTGGAACTGGAGTTACAGACTGTCATTAGCCACCATGTGGGTGCTGGGAATTGAACCCCTGTCCTCTGCAAGAGTAGTCAACTGAACTGTTGTGCCCAGTTCACGAGACCCCAAAGACCACCAAGGAGCCAACCGCTGCAAATACACAAAGGATTCTTTTATTGTTACAACCTTAAGCTTGGGCCCACTCTGTCACCGACTCAGCGGATCTCAGATGTGAGACCCCTTGCTTTGGGACACAGAGGTTTTTATAGGTTTATTTCAGCAAGTTCAGCAAGCAGGGGAGTAGGAGGTCTTGTTAGGGTCCGTGACTCGGTGGGTCTCTTCTGGAGAACAAATGCACGAGTATGGAGATGCAAAAATCAAGCAGAGTTTTATTAAACCAGCTAGCTGGGGCTGACCATCCTTCCAAGACACGCAGGTCTGGTTAGAGCGATCAACCTTGAGGCAATTTTAGGTAAAGATTACATAGGCTCCCACAACCGTTACACAAAAGCCC